AAGGGTGGGGTGGGGTGGGATGTTAACGTTCGGTTCAAATTACACATTCATACAGATGAAACCCTTCTACGTTGCCACACAATGCGAGCGACTGAGAGTGGGGTGGGGGTTGGGGTGGGGAAGGGTGGGGTGGGGTGGGATGTTAACGTTCGGTTCAAATTACACATTCATACAGAAGAAACCCTTCTACGTGGCTACACAATACGAGTACGCGTGCTTGGTTGCGCATTTTGGCTAGCTTGCGTTTGCTTGTTTAAAACCCGTCTGGATTTATTCATATCTTTTGTTCGGATGGCATGTCAAGGTTCGGTTTGCCCACTCATAAATAAGAAACCCTTCTACGTTGCTACACAATACTAGTACGCATGCTGTGTTGCGCATATTTGTTTGCTTGCGCGCTTGCGTGTTTGGGAAACCACCAACCAATGGTTAGACGGTAGACTGGTCGATTTCTTCCATCCCTATTCATACACACGATAGAGTTACAGTACCAATATATTATATTAATATATTATGATCATTTCCCTACAGGTCAAAGACCTTCATTTTACTGATCCTGTCCATGAATCATGTTTCATCAACGGTCTGAATGGCCCGGAGGACTCTTTTTTCAAATAGGTTCATCTGTGGAAACGTGACAAAACATAAATTTTTTCCAAAATGTGGTCAAAATTCAAAAAACGAACGTGCCGATGGGGACCCCTTTTTGCCAAGAAAATGCTGTAAGGGTTGCACAACGCAAAAAAAAACGACATTTTTTTTGAACCCTTTTTTCTTTCTCAAAAATCAGCTGTCGCTGCAGCGAAACAGAGAAAAAGACAAAAATCGTGGGGCGGTAATAATTCCGCCGGGTTGTTTATGGTATATATATAGACCGTCGTGATAGGGGCTCGGAGCGCCATTGTCATAGCCATCTCCAAGTCTTCAGCCATACCATTGCGTACATTTAAAAAAACACACATTTTATATATATCATTTTATATTTGCTCTGCTTGCGCTGAGCACCCCGACATTACGAGTCAGTGATATTGATATTTTTACTTTAATAGTTATATTTTTTCCATCCTCAGACCTCATTTGCACCGTGTCTTGTTTCTCCTCAAAGGCTTGGCGCCTTACTGGCCTTACTGTGCCGGGCCGCGGAGGATGAGGCGCCCGGTGCGGTGCGGACCTAGGCGTAGAAAAGCCAGCAGTGGCCCTGCGGCCCTGTGAGGATAAGGTTTGGAATCGGTAGTTACGTTCTTTCTTTGCTTATATATATATATATAGGTGTCATACAGGGGATCACTAAATTTGGAGGTGAAGGCCTGCAACCTAACCATCATCCACTCCCAAGAAATTGGATATACATGGTCTTTTCTACTGGTGCTAGGACCCTTTCTTCTATCCACAGCTGGGAGTGTGCATCCAGTGATGCCGTGGAGCACACTCCAGGCACCATCGGGCACGCCCTCCGGGAGAGCTCACAAGTCTACGTTTTGAAGCGGTTCTCATTGGATCGGAAGGCCCTCTTTTTCTCTTGCGTGCCCGCTAGCTGCGCAAAAGCCAAAGACCTCTACGTAAGCGACCTGCGATACGGGCTTAAAATATCAGAGCCCTATAGTTAAGGCCCCACCAAAATCTCTAAAAAGAGGCTGCCGGGTCGACCATGGGTTTGTGGGTTCGTGGCGGCCAGGTGTTACACCAACACCATGCAACGAGTCCCACCTTCCCCCAACAAGACATGGGCAGGTTCAGACCACGGCGCCTGCCATCAGGTTGAGCTGGGTGCTGGTGCGGATCAGCACAACAGTCCGGGCAACCCGTGTTTGCTGCATTGCTGACCGACAGTGTTGGTGGCTGTAGTGCGACTGGTGTCTCACATACTCGGTATACCTCTGGTAATGTATGATTTTGATGAATAACACCTCCCATTTAGATTCTAACACCTTTTTTATGTGTATTTTTTCTTTGTGTTCAAATGTGTTCAATAATTAATCAAGAGTCTACATTGGAGGGACTCCCTGATAAGTTTGAGGAAGGCACTCCCCACCTCCGCCACATTTTAAGCTTGCAGATGTTGAACAGACCTTCTCTCGACCAATCATGCCAAGTCGCCAATGGCCGCTGGAAAGACCATGCGGGAAACCTCCACTTCTATGCTTGTTGCAGGGAGGGTACAAGGTCAGAGTGAACTAAGAAACGGTCGTGGAGCTGTGTACTTCATCAAAAAACGGATCCATGGATCTATGATCTATCTATGCAGAACTTACAGACGGAACACCACCAACAAGAAGACCAATCTCTCCCTACGCCGGCGACCCTTTCACCATCTTTCACGCTTTTGGTCCGAATGTGTGGTTTTACCTCAAGGAGATCCCATGACAATTGCCAGGGGGGGCAGGGCAACCCACAAATGCAAGGGTTCATTTGACTCGTGTGCCAGGTAAAACGCACCAACACAACCAAATTGTATACGTAGTCTCCGACATGAACACCCTCCACAACACTTCCATACATGTATACTTTACTCCCAGCTTTGGGATTTATCAATGTATTCCTGAATTGATCAGAACCTTGCAAAATCGAGATGGGGCCACCCCTATACTAGCCCTATACCCATACCGATACCCTTTCTTGATTCAAAGTAGCTCATCGCATGCATTGAAAGTACCTTGCAACACCGATCAAGGAAATAGAAGTTGGTGTCCACCACAGGTCTTTCTGTATATTCCTGCAGGGCCCCAGTCGTACCTCAGAAGCTAGGTCTGCACCCACAGATGGCTCGTTGGGCGTCCCACCGAGCCCCGCAGCGAAGGTACTTCCCGCGCCGCGCCTTCGTCGCGTCCGAGGCTTTTGGGCCACGAAGTGTGTGAAGTCCCTGATCCAGGCGGACTCGGACTCGGACCGAAACCATTCTCGGATGGCGGCGGTGCGGGGGGGGGGGCCATCGGATCCAACGCGCCCTTTTCTTTCGGACAGATCAGATCTGGGTCACCTGGCTGGGTCTCCTGCAGATCGACTCCAGACAGTCCGATTTGGACCGGACACCCGAGACGCACTCGTGGTGCATCATGCCGTCCTAGCCATGGGGAAGCTGTGAGTGATCGATGTTCTGCCGCAGTGGGCTGGACCAAAAAACGTCAGACGAATCACATGGGTGACGCCGAGGCCAGGTGCTTTGCTTGACCGGTCAGACCGGTGGATGGTTTTTCCCACTGTCTCCACCGAACGCGCATGTGCTGGAACCAAGATTATATCAAGGCCCTGGCAGAGGGAGTCCATGTTCTTGTCATGTGTTGTAAGATCCCGGTGAAGGGCATGTTCCAGATGAGGAGTCAGAACAGGACCAGATGGGTTTGGGCCGGGCAGGTGAAGCGTATTCTATTCAGAAAGGCTTGACTGGGAATTGATGCACATGGATTTCACTGGGTTGGAGACTGACATGACCGAACATGTGAGCAGAGATGTGGGTGTCAAACCATTTTTTATTCCGGCGCCATTTATACACGGATTGGGAGACCCCTATCCAATGCCTGGGGATTGGTCAGTTTTTCCACAGCATAAATCGAAAGATATTGAAATTCGGGACTAAGAGTTTTGAAAGAGTGGCTCAGATAGCCAGCGCCACCCCATGTGCTGCCGACAACTCGTGCAAGATAAATCACAGTGGACACCCATTCCCTGCAAAAGGTTCCCTCCTGAAGTATGTATGCCTTTGCCACTACCCTGACCTTTTTTGTGAGGGCACTCCGTTCCAAGACCACTTATATATACAAGCCCGTTACACACCCAGAACACACAGAACCCTACAACCCCACGCGTTTCCGACCATTTTGCCAGTCAGTTCAGGAAACAAATGGAGAAGCGCTCTTGTTCTTTTGCCAGCAGGCCCGAAGTTTGAGAGATGTGGGGTCAGTCCAAGCTCTTCAGGTTCATTTCTGAACGTATCTGACCATTCAAACGACCGAATTGAAGACACATGAGAATGGTGCTTTTCCTTGAAACCGATATGATTCTCCATGCATTTGTGTTGTGTTTTGTCCTGTCGACACATCAATCTGTGTTCTTCATGACGCCGAGCTGCTTGGGCCACGTGGCCCCTCGGGGGCCCGGCGACAAAAGGGTTGCACCGGGTAACCGGGGTGGTCAAAACGAGGTGGGACACATCTGGGGAATGTGCGCAGAGAAAGGTTTCATAGAAAGAGGCCCATCTTCACCATTGGGTTTTTGTACTTTTCACAATGACAATTAGGTGGGTTACAGGGTGGGTTACAGGGTTATCCTGCGGGTACATCGGTGTTTTCTTGATTTCTATCCTGTCATAGCCTGTCACCTTATTTCAATGTTATGTTTTCCTCCGTATCTCCCAGGCACGATTAACATGGAACCCCCAAAACCACTGGGTTGTAGAGGAAAATGGCCTTCAAAACTTGATTCAAAACCACTGGAAACCTGATAATCCATGGAGGCTGATAACATTGATTATCAAATTATCAGGTTTCATGGACCACTTGTTTATCAGGTTCCACGTTCCTTTGCTTTCGTCGGACACCTCAGGAGGGCGCCGTGAACTCCCTCCGCGCACTGGCCACTGCACAGGTGCGGTCGAGCGAGCGGTCGAGCGGTCGAGCGGTCGGGCGCGGACGCGGCGGCTGAGCGCCGTTTCCCAAAGCCCTTCAGGTCATGCGGTGTCCCCAGCATGTTTGTTGGGAGGCCCTGTAGCATCCTGTAACCATGGTAGCAGAGATGTCTTTTGGTTTGAGCCATGCCGGCTGCTTTGGGGTGTTTGGTTGACATGGGAGAAGAATTAGCATGAATTGATTCGTGAATTTTAGCTAAACGAGCAGAAGAGTCGACCTGGTGGTGATAAAGTCAGTGCCGCCCACGGCACTGAAGCTTTGTGGCTGGGCGCTGTAGCGCTGGTGCCCTCTGTGTCGCTGGCAGTGATGCGCCAGGTGTGCTGCTCTCACGATGGTGTGCCCTCCTTGGCCATGCCATGCACCACGTACCCAACCGAACCAAGCGAGCCAATTAATTAGAAAGTTGATCTTGGGCCCCCGGGTGGGTTCGAAGCGATGTTCGGCTGAGCATCGAAGTGTTGTGAGACCTGTAAGACAGCATTTCGTGTACTAGAACGCTCTAAACTTCCCGCTTCACCCTGCTAAAACACCACCAATCCCAGCTGTTTGGACCTGTCTTTCTCCTAAGACCAGGCTCATCCGGGTCGCGTTCGCGTTCGCACTCGGTAGGTCGAAGCGTTGCACTCGGTCTGCGCCTGGGTCTTGTGGTTCGGGCTGCGCTGCCCGGGCGCCGGGGCGCCCGGTGACCGTGCGGAGAAGACGAGTGGTCCGGCGCCGAGGTCAGGGCCCACCAGGGGTTATTTTATGTGTTTCTATGTGCTGCACACCCCGTAATTCAGCTCTTCGGAAGCCAGCCGGGGCGATTTAAGACTAGACATCCCAAAACAGCCGGGGCACCTGGAAAGCGTAGGTGAAGCGTGTGCTTCTCACGGACGACTGGGAGGTTCAGACCTTGCAACTGAGTGGGACCCTGGGACACCCCGACTCACCAGGATGTGGGTACCCCTGGAACCTATTTGGCCACCCCGAGTTCGGTTGTCCTGGTTTTAAGACCCTTGTCACAGCAAGACCGCGCATGACATGGGATCGGATCCTGCGAAAGACCCCGACAGCGTCCGGGGGGGGCAGGAACGGGGCGACGCCCGTGGTGGTTTGGGGTTTCGGCGTCTGGGTGGGTGGGGGGTGGCATCGGTTGGTTTCCAAGCTGTTTCTGTCCTTCATTTCAGGCCTTTTCATCCTATCAATGGTCACAGGAGATTTCACCTTCGTTTCATCCTATATATTAATAGCGACAGTGATTGGTGTCCAATCTTAAGCCAACCCATCGAGTGGAGGTATGTGGTGGTGATCTGCAGATCTCCAAGTCTCACCCCCCCCCGGGCACCACAAGAGGAAACAACAAAACACTGCTTCTTGCCGATGTGAAGATGGGGGCCATCTTCATGTCGTGCTGGAAGGGGCATTTCTTTTTGCACCAAGATAGCTCTTCACGTTGGAACCTCTTCACTTATTCGGTTTCCCATTGCCTACCCCCACGGCAGCTGATCAAAGGCTCTACCAACGGAAACGGCTCGGATTCGAACATCCACAACGTCCCTTGGTGTGACGCCTTGAGTGACGCCTCGAGTCGGACCTTCCGTAGTCTCGTAACATGCAAAAAACATGTAAAGGAATATACCAGGGGCCACATGGAGTTGGGTGGTGTTTGGTCCCATCCAGTGAGTGGATGCGACAGGGGCACCCCGACTACCTCCAAGTTCGGCACCCCTAAGCTCTGTGACTGGTAACAATTGAATCTTACGTTGACCACACCGCAGAAGACCTTGGCCTTGCTTTGGGGAAGGTCGTCAACGCAAAAGACAACAGTTTTGTTTGGTTGACCTTCCGTCAAGGCCTCGCCTTGGGGAGGAGTTCGCCTCACAAAACCTCAAGCCCTCCACATCTCGACCTGAGGTGGTCACGGCTCTGGCGGGAGCTGGAGGCGGACCACGAGGGCGCTGGCTGGCGCCATGGTTCTCACCACCGAACGAAGGGAATTGACATGAATTGACCCCACTATAGGTGGCTTTGGGGTGTCAACTCATCGAAGTAAGCGCTGTCGGTTTTACTACATCGTGTGATATCGTGTGTATCTACTCGGTTAAAAACAACATTTTCTGCTAGGCTGCACAACATCCAAATATCCGGAAGTTCCCGGAACGTTTCTGGGGGAAATCAGGATCGTGGAACCGGCCCAGGTCGCAGGGTTCGGTGTTTGGAAGGTGGAGAAGGACACATCCTCATCCTGAGTTGGGTTCCACCTATGGGACATTTGGTTTAGACAAATGGCCGTAACGGAGGAAGACATGGTTTGCAGACTTTCTTGATTCCAAACTATACCGGGAAAGCATTCGTCGCCCCCTCGTGGTGCCCGAGTAGGGATCTGGAGTCGTTTTGAGTGGAGCCGGGTTTGAGTTTCTTCATCCTTTGCAGGTGTGACGAGCTGTTTTGTCGTAGGCGCCACGGACCGTTTGGGGGCATTTGGTTCATTCTCACGTAGGGGAGGAAATAGAAGAAGCCGAAACGAATGCCCAAGTCTGGGGATGTTTGATTTCAATAAATAGGTGGCTGATAGTACTCGTAGTTATTCGTAGTTGGTATTGCCATTGCTATGGTTATCACTCAAAGCAATGTACTTACAAGACCCCTGATGGACAGAAAAATGAACCAATGACCAATGGCCAATAATTGAATTGCCTGGTGATTTGTCATCCAGATGCCCATGTTAAGCCCTTTAGCAAAGAACAGAGATTAGCTGTTCTGATAGATGTTTATGTTGCAGGGCATGCAAACGAGGCATCCCCCATCAACTCCACCTCCAAGAGGGTTCATCCATCCTATCTACGTGCCAAAGCATCCCAAACCATACCCCTTCCACGTCCTGACCTTCCTAAAACCCGACCTTTCCGGAGAGCACCAGACCCAAAGGCTCCAACCCCAGCTTCTCCCGTCTCGCTCAGCAGGGACGCGGGGACTCTTCCTGCTGGGAGATCTCCTGAAGTCGCCGGAGCTTTGTGCACGGGCGAGGGACGCCCAGAGACCGGAGGAGTGGATTGGGACCTTGGGTGGGAAGGATTGACATGTCCTGGGGTATGTATTCGATGATATTTTATCTAGTCTATATTATTGCCTGCTTTCTCAATTCTTGGTATTTTTCGGCCGTTTTTCTTTGTGTTTCATTTGATTCGGTATTTTGTGTTGGTTTGCCTTGTGCTTCTCACACTCTTTTACCTTAATTCCCAACAGGCAAGGGGTTTGCTTTCGCCAGCAGCGTTGGTTTCACCATGGTGGGTCCGGTCCGTGGGGTGAGTTGGGGATGGAGATGGGTTTTCACGGTCATGGCGTCACACCAAACCCATTCTGGTTGGTCAACCCCACCCAAATCTTCAAAACGATATTTGGGCGCAGGATGGAGCAGGTGTATTGGAATTAGGGAGATCCCCCCACGTTTTGCTTCGTCATGAGGGAAGAGTCCGTCGCGAAAGAAAGAATCCGATGCCCAACGGGGGGGGAACACGCGCACGGATGGGCCAAAGGGACGGTCCGCCCGATCTCACGGGGCGCGACACCGCAGGTTCCATGCTGCGGGTTTCGGTGTCCTCTTTGGGAACAGCGATGAAACAAGAGGTGTTTCACCACGCATCTCGCGAGCATTTTGGGGATCTTTGAGTGTTACAAGGGGGTTTTCTCCGTTTCGACGTACGTGGTGGTCTCTGGTACTTGAGGTGTTCCTTTTTCTATGACGTTCACCCTCACTGGAGAGCCCTGAAGGTTGTTGGTGGAAGCTGCAACGGGCGGAAGCTGATTTGCACTGGGGTGTGGGGGCACCTCGAAGTAGGAATCCACACCGCGCCACTTGGAACTGGGAGAAATCCACCAATCCACCCCGCCATCTGGGCAAGTGGATCAACGGAATCCACCCCCCAAGGTACACGTCTGCGTTCCCAGCATCTACCAGCTTCACATCCACACCAACTGTCAGGGTGATCCAAATACGACCCATTGGTCGTTCTTTATTTCCCGATCCCCTGTTTCACGAAACAGCTTCATTCTTTGCCTTTCCCACCGGTCAGTGTGCTCGCGCCGTTTCGCCGCGCCGAAACCGACCGGTGCAGCTGTCGAAGGCTGATTCAACAGGGCCAGACGAAAGCCGATCCACTTCGAACGCCCTTCGACGCCATGGCACGCCGATCCTCTTTGGCCTACTTGGGGCTGCCTGGGTGGCGTAGACTTGGGACAGGGACATTTGGAAGACTTGGGTCAATGGTCCACGGAGTTTTGCGTGTTGGTTTATTTTTTTATACAATATACTCTATATAATATTAATGACATAATGCTATAATATACATATATAATTAATATATATATATATATATACAGTACATATATGCAACATACATAGTTACTTTTTAAAGGTCCTCCGGATGTTCTCAGGGCCTGGGTGTTCGGAGAAGAAAGGATCACATTGGGAAGCTGAACGTTCCGATGAAATGGTGGCTCCGTTCGTCCAAAACCTGGAGCCCCGGTCCATGTAATTAACTTCACCTTGCAGGCATGGTCGGTCCACCGGTCGGTCTCTTTTGGGCGCCCACATGGACCCACCGGATGTCCCCCAAACACCGGACGCCGCACCGCCGGCAGAGGGGTCAAAGATTTTTACGGATCAAGAAAAACATCCGGATCATGCATCAACCAAAATTAAACGAAAATAGAAGGAAGAAGAAGGAAGACGGAAGGAAGGAAGGAAGGAAGGAAG